AGCTGTCTTGGTGGCTGCCCTTTAAAGGAGAGTCCATTCCCTCAAAGGATCAACAGCCAACATCCTGGTGTCAGACACTGAAGAAACCCCTAGAGGCTGGAGTTTTACCCAGAGCTTGCATGACCATCAGTGGCAGAATGAAGTTTTTCATTGTTTAAGTTCAGTTTTCGTTCTGTTTAGGTTTAGGCACAAAATCTACATTATTAGGCACTTTGTTTTTTTGTTTTAAAAAACATGTTTTAAGCTTTGTTCGAGTTAAAACAATAAATGCTGCCCTCCTTGCCATATCCTTGCCTCTCTCTTTGCTCATCATCACATCATCTGCACTGTTATTGGTCATGTTGCACCTCCACACCTTCAATTTGCACTCTTTTGATCATCTGTATAAATGTAAATCTAAATATATCTGCACCCTCAATATTCTTGTCAATAATAATACAGCTTTAGGGTTCTTATTTAAATTTAACTTTAATTCTTCACTCCACAATATTTTTTTGCTTCTGCTTTGCACTATTGCAATTATTTTTAGCTTTAGTTACTTTTATTTGACTCTATATTTATTGTTGGATTGTTGCACCAATCCACCAGAACAAATTCCTCGTGTTGTGTAAACTATACTTGGCAATAAATCTGTTCCTGATTCTGGTATCAGAAAACCCATGACTAACTCAGCTGTGACCAACAACCAGTTGCCAAAAATCTGGAATTTTTCAGCTGAACTGCAGAAAGAAGACTAAGAGGAAAATAAAAACCACCATTAAAGTAAATACAGCATGGCTCAAAAACAGAGGAGCAAGTTGTTGGAGGATACATTTAGCACGGTGAAACATCTTTCTAGAGTCGTGGAACATGCCTAGTTTGCAGCAGCAATAACAATCTAATTGGTAAAACACCTAAGGCAGCCTTTTACGGTGCAGCACTTCAGTTTGCTGTGACTGTTCCTCCACCTGTAAGCTCTGAATCTACCTTCCTCTTGGGAGAAACTTGTGTTGTAGCTCCTGATTCCCCCGCTGAGCTCGGCTGGATGTTTCCATGGCAGCAGCAAGGTCAGAGTCAAGATGCTGAACACAAAACGCTGCACACTTTCTGCATTCACAAATTGTTCAAAAGAGATTAAACCCTTATGTTTTCTTGCATTCTTCCATAGCTGCTTTGTC